CTCTTTGTTACCCCAGCAGTGTTTGTCGTGTGATTATAAACTTATTTGAGAACCATATGAATTAGGTTTAATAAAAATAAAATCACAAGATACTGATGTACAAGTAACAGTTACTGGCATAATGCGCCGTTGCTTTATTCTTTAGTTTTTATAGAAAGTTGCACGGAATACCCGATTTCGCGGATTCAACGATACCCTAATATCGAGTATTATACGCGATTTCACGGATAATACCCGATTTCGAGTATTCTCTCCGACCTGTTAAAGTAAATATATTAAATGTGTCCTCAAATAGTTTTTATCGTGGGAATAAGAAATCAGGTGTGATTGTTTTCTTGTTTGTGTTTAACGTCTCTAACGCCCTTGAGAATTTTTAAAAACTCATTTTCAAGACGCTAACCACACCGATGAAGCGCTTCAAATTTAGACCTGTACTCGGTATCAGGTGTCTTTCAGCAGTAAAGGATCATCTGCTGTTTATGTGGTCTCAACAAAAAATCGGTCTCCCGAAGTGGGATTCGAACCTGCAACCTAAGGTTCTAGTCTAGTGCAAAGGCTCGAACTACTTCGCCTTGTAGGCGACCTTTGGTTTTTGGAAACAGCCACTGTCACTTTTACATTTTGCTGAAGAGTTTTTGATGGGACTCTTAGATCTATCATGTTTAATTAAAAGTGCTACTTTCAAACTTTAGGGTATGTTGCACTGGCAATCACAATATACTATGCAACCAATTCTATCTGATGTTAATATGTTTGTTTAACGTCTCTTCGAGAACTGTTTACTCATATTGAAACGCCACCACTTGTCACTGGAGGTCTGCTGCAAATGTTACAGCACTTTGGGCATTTGAACAGTGACAGAACTTTTTCACCTACTGCAACGTGGGACCTCAGTTTTAACCGCCTGCGCCACTACGAGGGGTGTTAGAAAAGTTCGCGGACAAGTTCAATTGTGAGCGCGCTATTTCCACGAAACCGGTCAAACTTTCCAGATAGAATCTTTACATTTTTTCCAATCAATATACAAGAAATTGTTGCTCTCCGGTGATTATTAAAAAATTTACAGCATTTTTATTTGGATAAAACTTGCTTCACGGAGCATGCTACATTTTGGCACGTTTACATCACAAAGACTCTTTATTAAAATTAAAAATTACACAATTGTAGCGCAAAGAGATAGATGATATTTTACCTGCCGCTAAAGTATTCATGAAACGTCACTGGGAGAAATTTTGAACTAAATTGGAGGGTATATGACTATTTTATAGCCGTTTGTATATGACCATTGCATAAAAACACAGCCAAAAATCGGAACGTCATTGGGCGTCATGGAGCACTGCACTACGCAAAAATAATGTATGCAGACTGGAAAATATCTAAAAAGAGATTAAAATGTTCAAGATGCTGCCGGGAATTTCCTACACCTACAAAGGAGAAGTTTTCAAATGGTTGTAGCTTTATAAGAATGGAAGGATTAACATTTTGAAAGATTAACTCCAGCGATACTTCAGCACCCCCTTATCGCATGGACGTTGCGTTGCGCCTTTATGGTTTTGCATAGTTTCCTTACCTGATCGATTAACTGATTAACTGCATAAACTTTATTAAAGATCTAAATAATATCCGAATCAGTACATAAAACATTGTAGATGAAAAGTAACATGTCTTGATGTAGATATTCAATTCTAAAGTAGAAAAAAGATCAGAAAAATCTAAAGATTTATAGAACTGCGACAAAGGTTAAGGGGTTGAATTCTGGTTGTTACGTCGCCTTACGTCAAGTAATTGCTCCGTGAATCCCATAACCGCATAGTAAAAATCGTTGTAATTTTCAAGATTTTATTATATGGACCTGATTTTTTACATACCAATAAACAAAATGTAGGAATTTGTTCAGACATAGGTCATACTTCACAGTACACAATAGATTTCCCGTAATTCAATGTGTCCGTGAACTTTTCTAACGACCCTCGTATTCACATATACAGTTAATTCTCGATAAACCGCCACCTTTTGTAATTTAGAAATCATGGCGGTATAACGAATTTGGCGATGAATTGAATTTCCCATCTTTTAGGAAACAAGAAGTAGAGTTACCGTCCTTAGAAATACCATAAAGCGTTTCTATAATTATATTTACATGTACATGTATTGTATATAAAACATATTTCTAAATTTTAAAATACTTCAAGTAATTTTTTATATACAATTTCTTTAAAACAAAATGTGCAGTTATGAAATAAAAGACAGGTGCATGTGCATCTATGAACACGAGTATGTAAATCGGCACGTCTGATATTGAAAAAAACATGCTGGGTCAATCGTCGTGATATATTGCTGACAGTATACGTAAAATTGTTTCTTGAATAAATTTATTGTTTATGGCATCATTGTTAGTGAAACGTTCACAATTTATACCGTATGATTATTTTTAAGCAAACTTTGCATTGTTTAAAGCAGAGATCATCAAAATAATATCGTATTCGGCGTACTTTCACAACTACCTCTTTCGTGGCGAAGGAAAAGGATTTTTTAAACAAAACAACAGAACAAAGTCATTGTAACAGTTCATATTAAAATTATTTGTTCATTTAATTCTAATTTAATTATTTAATTGCGTGTACCTTGTCAGGCTTTGCATGCTTTACAACGGGATAGCGTCAACCAATTAGCCGCGCTTCACTGACCGCACGCACCTGTGACGGTATATCGAGATAATTGACACTTAAAAATGGACGTTTGTTGTGAAAACAGGGTGGCGGATGGCGGTATGCGAATTTGGCGTTATAAAGAGAATTTTATATAGCAGGAAAAACGTTCTTGGGAAATCATGGCGGTATTGCGAAAATGGCGATGAATCGAATGGCGATAATACGAGAATTGACTGTATATAAGAGTTCAAGTAATCGATAATAGACTTAATAAAATAATGGTTCTAGACAAAAGTTGTTACGTAGTTATATTATGTTCAGGAATAGTACCAATCATGGGGTCAACACTTGCTGTATTTAAGTGATAATGGAATTTAACCATACCAATAAAATGATGAAAAATTCCTGTGACTACGTCGGGTGTGGATGCAAAGGATGTAGCAATCTTCTTTTTCACTAAAATGCAAAAATGCAATTTTCGGGGGTCTACAAGTCTTTAAAAAACTCGTCGATAGATCTTTCTATATTTTGATTTTTTCGTTGCTCAGTATCATGTAAGCTTAATATTAAAGCTTTTATTTAAAACCGCGGTAAAAAAAAATTCTCATCGATCCACTATACCGTTAACAAAAGTATGTAATATGTATACGATATGAAAAATGGTTAGAAATCATTTACAAGACGATCTTAACGTCCCTCTCAAGAATTTTTCACTCATATGGAGACGCCACCACTTGCCGTTAGAGAGCTGCAAATTTTGTCCTATACTCGGCACTTACGGCCATTGTGCAGTGAGGTTCTTTTTCGTGCCAGCACCTACAGCGACACAGGACCTCGGTTTATAAGGTCTCATCCGAAGGACCGGTCTCCACGTCCCACAGTGGGATTCGAACCCACGACGTAAGGATCAACTCTTTACTTCGCGACTCTGACTAAACGCGGGCGACTTCAGATCAGTTGTTGAAAACAAAACACATATCTACAAGATAGAAAAATTATTACTTGGTGATAAAGCAGACTTTGACAAAACTTCTATACATATACACAGCATAACCTCCAATGCCACGGATTTGTTTTGTTGAACTTTTAAACAAGTTGTCTCTCTTTGAGTGTCTAGTGGCAAACGATGAAACTCATTCAGGTATATGTAAAATTATTTTTTCTTCACAATTTCAAACACCTTAGTTTATACAGGTGCCTTTCTCATTGAAGGGGTGATATTTAGTAAAATACTAAAGTTTGACCAAAACGTACCAAGGTGGAAAATGTATTACTTTACCTTTTAATAAAATATTCGAAAAGATTTCAAAAATTTTGGTTTTTTTATTTAGATTTTATACTTTCAAAGAAAAATATTAAAAAAAAAAAAAAAGGCAATGAAATTTTTCTGTGAGATGAATCTTTCAGGTCTGGCGTCAGTTTGACTTTCCTTCAATAACTTCGTAATAATCCAAAATGAGTTATAATTGGTATTATCTCATTTCAAAACAGTTTTCAAAATGTCTAAGGAATATATATTTTAAAAAATGTGACATCAGGAATTCAGATGATTTCAAAGAGGGCTATGTACAATGTAGGAAATATTGTCCCTTGAAATTTTACACAGAAGCCTAATAATGTACTTTTTGTGAGGAAACTGAGAATCAATAATGCATTATTGAGGAACGTGTAATGTATATTTTACCAATCAATAAACCAAAAGTATACATGTATTTAGCTATATGGCACGAAATATATAACACTCCCTAAAAGTGAAACTTTAGTGGGCAGACTCGGCACACTCCATTCATTCTAGCAATGAATGGAATCTATATATTAACGGGATAAACTGATAAACTGAAACCTTAAACAAAACAAGCTTATATTTCAAATGAATGGCCATAACGGAAAAAAACATTTTGTCGTTCTCTTCCTTGAATACCCCCCCCCCCCCTTTGAAATTTTGATACGTAAAAATTAATCAACAGCATTTTGGCCCAAATTCGCAAAATAAAATCGACGTAAAAGTTTCCAGATTTACGGTATTTAGATTTCATACTTTGAAAGAAAATGCGATGAATTCTTCTGTGTTTCAGATAGAACATTTTCTATCTGATTATATTAAAGCATTTAAATAGATTTCAACATGGTGTTCTTTGATATTTCAGAATGTGCACAGGAATGAAAAATTCCGCTTGTAATTTGATTTTACTGTTAGAAATGCATTATTCTTTTAATCCCTTTAAACCTTTTAAAACTATTAGATCTCCTGCGTACATTAAGAGTTTTGTTTTGTTTAACAATTGTTTGTCAAGTGCAACTGATGCCATTTGTAATAATTTTTTAACCCCAGAGCTTAGTTATTTTAACTCTCGACCAACACATAGCATTGTGTGAAGTGTTTTGATAGGGCATTTAAAATCTCGGCTACCTTGTGATGGTCTAGCTTCGAGTTCACTCAAAGATGGGATAAAAGTCTCTAGGAGAGAGATTATTAGTAGATCTGCGAGTAATTGTTAAAAAATTATAATTGGAAATCGGATTAGTCCAGCTGGTTCAGTGAAATCTAGGCGGTTACTTGGGATATTGAATAAGTTTTACGTGTGTTACGATTATCAGGAATTATATAGCAAAATTATGATGACAGTTTTATAGAAGTCAACCTGGACATGTCAAATTATACAAGGCATTGGTGAAAACCGAAACTTGCTTGGATACAACTATAGACGGTAAGTTGAATGTTTCTTTTTTAATTTCTAAGGGACAAAATTTATCGGTATTTAAATTTTAAAATATTTTCAAAAGGCAATATTAAGATCAATTTAAGTTAACTAGTCTACGATGTCATTTCATTGATTTTTCGATACTTCACTGTTAGCCTTTTGATAATGAACTACATATCGTGTCTCCAAATACCTAATCTTCGAAGGACACTTTTTTAGATAATATTTTTTTGATAGACATGGATTGTTTGTATAACTAAATTAAAAAAAATCATCTGCCAAATTAAACATGAATTTAGGAAATTAATTCAGAGTGGCATAACTTTTGTTTTAAAACTTAATTTGAAGTGTATTTTTTGTTTAGCTATTTATATTTATTAGGTAAGATAAATGGGCCATCTTATAAAACGCCCAACGGTAGTCTCTGTATATTTTGAGCACCTGTGTTTCATAGATACTCTATCTTTCATGCTTTGTCTGTTTATTGCTTTATAAGTAAAAAAAAAAATCAATTTTAAATTATTATAAATTTAAGATTTCGTCTACAATTATGCAAAAAACGAAAATAGCTAAAACTGGAACCAACACATGACATACATGTATTAACTGAACTGCCCTATATCAAGACCAAGGGAACAGAAATCTAAGCAGTGCTGCTTTATTGTAAATTTACCTAAAAAATTCTTCAATGCAATGAAGAAAATAAACCAATAAATGATTAAAACCCCCTTCGCTGCTTTTGCTTTATTTTGACTTGAAATAAATTAAGTACCATAAAAATTCTTTGATGTAATTAAATTAAATAAGACTATAATTCGATTAAGAAGAAATGCATAATGCAAAATCAAAGACCCATGGATTTTAAGCAGGATAAATGACACCCACAATGTAATTCTATGCGTAAATATTTTACCTCTAAATCAGAGAAGACGTCGTCTTTTTAGGAATTAAAAGTCATGGACACTAAATATTTTTGAGCTTTAATCAAATCTCATTTGACACCCCAACGAATTTACTCTACCGTCGATATTTGTTTCTCGTGGTAATAAACATTTACTGAACTAATACGATGACTAAATGCATATATATATGTAAGCTTTATAAACACGGAGGGATTACATATCTATAAGGCTTCACATATGTACAAATAAGTCTAATGGAAGGGCTCTTGTTTTCTGAGATGGAATACTGGAAATGTAAAGGACCTGAATGGTACCTTCGTCAATCATCAAAATGAATTTTTATGTCTTTTATAAATCTTTTGAGATTTTAGTTATGAAAGATTCGTTTAGCATAGCATTAACGACTAATGTCTAAATCTAATTAACTGTCTCAGAGATCAAGATAAATTGTCTTGTAGTTCCTTGCATAATCTTCCCAAAAACTTGCACATACAATTGCAGTCTTTATCTACACAGTAATTTTCTGCCTAAATGAAGTGTATATTACGTTCTCATAATGATAAATTCCAGTTTCTCTAGACAGGAACACGGCTTTTCGAAAATAAAAGTCCAGAATTCTGACATGGGGGCCATTTATTATCCCCGTTGTGCAATCTGAAGTCATCTTGACAGGGCATTGCATTGGAAATGACTATACATAGCAACCACTGAGAAGTCAGACCAACTTGCAATTGAATTTTCTCTTTTAATTCAAGTCTTATTAATCCCACTTAACCTTCCAAAAGACGCAGACCTTTTAGATAAGTATGTGTCTTAACTCCTAACATTTGCTTTAAATTATAATCATCTACATTTAAATTATGGAATGGATTAATTATTTTTATAAAATGATGCATATGATTTTTTTTAAGGATTATGCATAAGCTGCCGGATTAGTAACACAAATTGGACTGATTTTAACAAGTTCAAGAGTTTATTAAAAAGACTATGAAATTACTCAGAAAGTCAGTATGTATGCTAAACAAATGTAGTGTGTTTTATAGTAACCAGAATATTTCATATTTATACGCCATTCTTGTCAAAACAGTAAGTAAAATATTACCCTTTCTGTAAATTTTACCTTTCCTAATCTTTATTTTGAGGTGTTAAAATCAAATACATTCAAAAATGTACTGGCAAATTCACAAGGAATCCTGAAAAGTCATATAGATTCAAAGCATATTTTTCCATTACAGATTAAAGATGGCGCTGTTGATGCTCAAGACTCACGACCTGACATGGCAGGACCACACGATCAATGTCGAGATGATGCTTGCACCTCTCCATGCGCAACTGCTTGCAAGTAAACACAAAGCTTTGTCAACAAGGTGCAGCACAGTTAAACAGATTTACGATAAAGAAAGGGACACCATGGTTAAAAACATAAACATAGAGAAAAGAATGATGGAAAGAAAGAAAAACGCAATTCTTCAGAGAAAATCGGAGATAGCTTTCAAACGTTTGTCGTCTGCTAAGAGCGATCCCACAGATACTCGGTGCCATACAATTCCCGACATTAATACTAAACGCGGGAAATCAGCGCCACCTATATTAGGTGACGTGATGCAAAAGCAATCGGAATTCTTTTTGACTGAAGTTCAAAACATGGACATGAAGGGCAATAATCTTAACAGTGAACAAATAGGTGGAAGGAAGGGTTCCGTATCCGAACCATTCCATACTGTGTCTTCCTCAAGAAATAGCGTTAAGTCATCTGTCACGTTGCCATATTTCACGGGGATTCATCCAACCAGTAGAATTGAATCTCCGAGGTACCTGACAACAGGAACAACTCAGATGCAAGGAAAATCCGTCAGATTTGAAGATACAGACGAAGAAGAACGAAACAGCGAAATTTTGTTCGAAAAGATTAACTATGCAAGACTTCAGCAAAAAGTGAAAACATTTGTAAACGAACAAGACAATTTCAACAAACGTCCCACAGGATATACTTTAAATTTTCGAGCTAAGCAGCGATTTGCGTACAATCCTTTCAATAAGAACAATGGGAAAAAGCAACAACCGCTTGTAGCAAAAAAGAGCACAAAACTTTCCCTTGACAAGAGTGAGCTGGAGCGGGCTTTTGATAAATTTTGTCAAAATAAAACAAAAGATAATTTACATTCTATGATGAAGATGGCGACTAAGCAGAAAGCAAGCATACGAATTGCCCGAGATCAGTCGATCGTTCCCGCCATTGCAGTCAAGAGAAGCGCAAATAAATTCCTCTCAAATCTCGGCAAAAACAAAGCTTCCGAACAAAAAGATGGGGGTGGAGTTGGTTGAAGGCCGCGTCATTTATTTATCATGTGTATTAATATAACAAAGAATTTTGATAAGAATTCCTATACCTGTGCCTAAGGGCCAAATACTGGAGGAATGTGAAAGCAAGATAGAGATTCGGAATATATGATTATCAAAGCATGTGACAAAACTTTGTAAATAATTCAAAATATGTATATAAATAAATCAATAAAACTACCTGAAAGCACTCATATGTAGGTTATTTATCAATTGGATATGAGAAAAATTGAGTTTGAACTCATTAAATTATTAAAGTAAAAAAGGAACATTAAAATGTGCAGGAAATGTCGTTCTTTGTCAATTCAATTTTTTAGACATTCAAAGTCAACACATTATCAGTTGTAAAAACATGCATTTAAACTCGTCGATGTGTGCAGTTTCACTTTTATTTGTAGCTTGCTCGTCGTAAAAATTGTGATGAATGACCAATCTCAGCCTTTTCATTTCACAGTCTTTAGCGCCTTCGTCATTTTCTTTCTTTCATTTGCAAAATTATTTTGTTAAAACACACTGTGATTGCACACTCAAGTACTCTGAAGTTGACATCAAAAAGATGCTTGAGTTTCTGAATGACGATATCTATGTGGTTCTTCCAACAATCTGTTGGAATTCCCATGGGTACCAATTGCGCTCCGTTACTAGCAGACCTGTGTTTGTATTCATATGAAGCAGAATTTGTGCAAAATCTTATGCGTGAAAAGAAGAAAACACTTGTTGTGGCTTTCAACTCAATATTTAGATATATCGACGATGTATCTTCAATTAACAATGGCAATTTCCATTCCTATGTCAATACGATATATCCTGGTGAGCTTGAGATAAAAGATACCGCAGAGTCTGACACATCTGTTTTATATACTAGTACTTGGATATTTTACTTGAAAAGGACGTTAATGGTAATCTAACAATCAAGCTCTATCATAAACGTGATGAGTATAACTTTTCTATCGTCAACCTCCCTTACTTATGCAGCATCACCTGCATACGGAGTTTATATATCTCAGTTAATTCGATACGCAAGAGCATGCTCTACGTATGAACAATTTCTAAAACGAGGTAAATTATAGACAAACAAGTTGATGAAACAAGAATATCAACAGTCTCGTTTAAAGTCATCATTTATTAAGTTCTTTGGTCGATACAATGACCTAGTCAACAAACACAATTTATCATTGAGTAAAATGCTGACTGACGTTTTTCATACTATTTGTTACACTGTAGTCCATTATTTATACACTGAATTGACGACGGAATTTTCCGTTATTTCCCGATCATGACAAGAAGCACACGGCGGGTGGGACCGGTCAGCAGGGGATGCTCACTCCTCCATGGCACCTGATCCCACCTCTGATGTTTTAGAGGTCCGTGTTTGCTCTGCTCCTATTTTGTATTGTTTTATGGACTTTGATATTGAGTACTGCTCGTTATCTCCATATCTTACATTTCTTCTAAAAGAAGGTTCTATACTTCTTGATACATGTACTTGCATGTAGTTTGATATAAATTATTAGAGTAGGTTATTAAGACGGTTATTTCACAAGTTGTGCAACATCCTCACAGTGTCCAGAATCCACCATGTGGTTGCGGGACCCCTGACAAACTTTATAAAATATTTTACGGGCTTGCTCATTCAGTTCATTGTATATTGAACACGTTTGACAGAGATCATTTTGACGAGGTTCCACCGCAGTAAAACGCACATCCCTTTCCATTATGTTACTTAAATTTTTGACTTTCACTGATAATCCATTCTAGGATTTTCTTATCGTTTTTATCGTCTTTTAACGTCATTTTGTTTGTTTTAGCTTGTCGTTTAACGTCCCTCTTGAGAATTTTTCATTCATATGGAGACGCCGCCACTTGCAGGTAGAGGGCTGCAAATTAATACCCATACTCAGCACAAAATTTTTACTTGATAAAAACATGAACAGCCATTCAGGTTTTTAAAGGATTTTTACTTAACTCATGCTAAAATATGTCCCCTCGTCAAATGCCTGGAAATAAGTTGTATAAAATTATTTTTAATATAAAACATCGTTGATCATCTTTTTAGTACTTTCTATAACTATTTTTATTTCATTCGCGGTCTTGTAGACAATGCGTCATGCGACAGATATGCGAAATTTAATGAACAAGCAGTGTTCAATGTGTTGTGCTTATATAATATACACACATTTGTCTGCCAAGCTTTTGAAAACAAAAATGCATATTGATAACCTCTTTTACTTAATTAGAAACTTGATGTGCATATGTTACGTTCACTGTCCTTATTCTATAATTAATTCGATCAATCAATGGTTTACTTTTCATATATTGGTGAAACTCGATATTCGTATTGAATTTCCCTTTAGAATTTATACTGTTGGTAAACAACTAAGATTGATCCATACCTCCAGAAAGATATCGGCTAAGCAACAGATGGTTTCTCGATAAGACTATGAACACATTCTATAGTTTTTCATCCATGATGTAAGGACCTACAATCCAATACAAATGTAGTCCTGTATACCTGGTATTATGACTATGTCGGAAACATATAGGACACATGCTACGTTCAGTGGTTGAATTCGTCATTTACCTACACGCCAAAAAATTACTTTCATCAGAAAACTGGAAAAATCTTGAAATTTTCTGAACAGTTTGTGTTTAAACACTTTGGAATGATCCTGGAAAGAATTCGTCATGTTTTTCTTATCAACGTTGCTTTCATCCTTTTTTCATTGTTTCCCTCAACTAAAAGTGAAACTAGAGGTAATGAGAACGTGCAAGACATCCATGTTTTACTTGGCTTCTTAAAAATATCATCGTAAACGTCTTCGTATCAGTTGTGATATTACACAATAGATCTAATTGTAATTAAATATTTATTGTTCAAACATGTACACATGTATGTTTTGTATGTATGCAGATTGATAACCTTTCTTTTCCCTTATTTTAAGGACTACATTTCCTGAAAAACTGTGGTCAATACAAGGTCAAGGATGTGAGCTCAGAACTCTCATACATGGTCACGTGGCATGGAGAACAGATGCCCTCGCCGTCCTGTAAACTGGGGTTCTCCGGGCCGATAGCAGACACCATATACACGAGGTCCGTCTGTTACGACACGATATCCTTCCAAGTCAAGGACTGCAAAGTAGTATTACAGTTTTCTGAAGAGAATGGAATGAAAGCCTCGGTTTGTAAATTTTTTTTAACCCCCTCCCCCTTTCTCTTTTCTGCGTCAGAGAACCTGTTGCGTTGCCGAAAATGCAATCATTTATTGATTTTTCATACTTTTTAATTGCCAATGTCATCCTAGAGCTACTAGTACCATATTTTTAAGTATATTTATTCGTTTTAATTATAATGCTTTATAGTTATTTAATGATTACTAAAGTGTTTTGCAAAAGCTTAAGTTCGGTCGAGTATATATCCATGTAATAAAAGAGATCAAACAAAGGTACTAGGTAAAACCTGGATTAACACAACAGATGGTGAGCAAACCAATGGTTGTAAACTTATACATGTGCAATCATTTCCAATCTATAGTCATGTTTTATTTCAAACATTAAGGTGTTTCCACCCTCACAATTTTAATGGTTCATAAATTTAATATACTGGCAATTTTCCATATTGCAAAAAATGTATAGTTTATATTATTTAAGATGCCATAAGTAAACAGAAGTGTATGTGTTTTTTTAATATGAAAATTGAACTTATTATCATTACGTTAAACTACCAACAGTAAAATATTAACTTAGAAGTCAATAAAGCAAATGCTTGAATGAAGAGACCTTAGAAGGAGTTATTGCAAATTTTTTAATTAGATAAAAAATATCATAAATTCGAAAGGTGGAACGATTAACAGCATAAAATATTAACTTTCTCAGAAATAATAAAGATTTCATAGTTGAAGCAGTAAAAATAATTTTTATGTTAATACATGTTTAGTTTAGACATTTACATGCATTATATCAGTAAAATGATTGTTGCTTTGCAGAACTATTCGTGTACCCACAAGCCTAGAGTTTGGTGCGCAGAAAACAATCAGATTGCCAATATCGACCTCATGGGAGCGAATCTAAACTCTTTCAACACATCCTCATTCAAAATTCTGGTAACAGCACAAAAGAAAAACACATGTAAGAGCAACTGTTTTAATTTTATCCTTGAATACATGTTGGTAATACTTACGATTTTATTATTCATTACCCTGTTTACTTCATCATTTCTATAATTACTCAAGTTTCGGGTCATCTTAAATATTCCAAAAACAACGCAAACCATCTCTCTATTCCCAGAATTACGTACATCATGCAGGATCCTTGAAATTTCTTTTATTACCCCGCCATCCTTCATATACATGTACGTATTTTCAGAATAATCCACATCCTCTTTATGTTCCTAACATTACCAACCTATTCTTCAATATTCCAAGATTTACACACGTTACAGACTTACCCATATCCTTCTTAATATTATCAGAATTATCAACATCTCCCTCAATCTCTCTAGTATTTCTCTAGTCAGCTTCAATAATTCCTGCTTAACTCTTATCCATGTCTTCTTTAGTAAAACACCATCCTCAAGATTCATTGACTTACATAGATACCATCCTCAATATTAATATTTTTTTAGATATACCCAATATCAATTGAACAAAACAAGATAATTTCAAAGTACCATGTATTTTTTGTCAAATATAAGTAACATTTAGAATAGGTAATATTTTCTTTCACTAATTCAAAATTAAGAAGTAAAACGTTGCATGTTTTGATTATCCAATCTGCTGTTGCAGTTCAAGTTTACAATTAACTTCTTCAAAGAAATTTTCTTTGAGAGGTAAGTATTCAAAGTCTTTCAAACATTCACTTAGGATGATTTATCAGTTTGTGCTCAAGGTGGATACGTGAAGTAAAATGTATGCAGTTTTTATATCTTTTTAAATCTGTCAGAAAAGTTTATCACCGCAGTCTTGACAGGCAATTAAAGAATCAGTGAAGAGTTCTAATTTAACTGACTGGCCGTCTTTTGTAACAACCGAAATCCCCATTCATTTCTTAAACTTTATGAAAACTATTAAATATGATAATATCTACCGTTTAATTGCGTGTACAAGATAACTAATCACAAAAAAAATGCAACCAAGTGCCTTACTTATGACAGAACTTGCCAAATAACTAGTTTAACAAGAGAACTTTCAATTAAATCTGCATAAGCAATTGAAAAATAAATGTTTATTAGAAATTAAGTATAAATTTACATGAACAGACACAGCACTTTGACACATTCATTAACTGTCAAATGCCTTTAAACCTGTTACCAAAGTAGGAGCCTTGCAATGAAACAATTAAAATTTTGCATGTAATGAATTTATAAAGATTACAATAGTACAGCAGTACGTAATGGATCAGGTCTTCTCTGGCGTATGTAATAAAGATCGTAATAATTACAAAATAAAATCTAACCTGTATTGACCCTCTCTCCTTCATGAAAAAAAAGTCAACGGTCTTATTTAACAGCTACTTTCGTAATCTGCAGTAATTTTAAATGTAGCGTTGTTTTTCTGATAAAAATGCCTATTCAAATGTTGAAATTTTGGCATCCTTGTGTGCCCCTTTTCTGGCCCTAGGGGCCGTCATTCAGATAAATTTGAATACACTAAAGATGTATAAAGGAACTTCTCATATACTAGTACTTATTTTTCGGACACCATGATTTTAGAGGATATTTTCATTGAATTTACACCATTTACATATTTTAAAAAATATAAAGGACTTCCCTTCGTTTGATCAAATTCACATCTCCAAACCAAATATGTTTTGACGTAGCTGTAGATATGTAGCTCATTGGTCTGGAAATAAAAGGATTATCGAACAGAGAGCATTGAAAAAAGTGTATATATTTACTGCACACATAACGAGCACACGCTTGTTATATACATGTTTCTCCGCATTTTATGCTGCTTTCTCAATTTATTACTAAATTTTACTTATTGTGTTCCCAACAATTAAAGAACAAGATGTGCTTGTTAAACACATAATTATACAAAAAACCAAAGAGCAAGTTTATCTAAATGTAGGTGAATTCAAAGGTTAAAAATTGTGAACTTACGATTTTAGTATGGTTTTTTTTTAGTTATATGCAGTTGTTTCTATTACATAATATGTTTAATTGTGTTTGGTAATGTCAATAATACTATGTTTTGACATATTTTGGTTGCTTTGTCATTTATTATATATATAAATGACCATTAAATTCCAACTTTGCGTTTTCATTTATGTCAAACAGAGCACCGACATATGTTACAGGATACAGAGTACATGAAAGGATTAGTCACAAGGAATACACATATGAACAAAAATAACCCTAGTGCCTGCCATTCAGGGAGGTCTAGGATCATATACATAAGGAAAAAATAGTACCAATGTAAAGGTCTTGTCACAAGGAATGCATAAATAAATATGAAAGCCCAGGAGCTATAGACAAGGTTCAAGTTTTTAAAAATGCAGGTCAAACCCCAAGGTCAAAGTCATTAGGACATACTGAACCTAAAAAACGGTTTACACGAAATACATGTGTCATGTGAGACATGAAAGTCTTGGCACCAACCATTGAACATTTATCGGAACTTAGCTACATGTATTTGTCCCATCACGTGCATTCTTCTGCAGAACCACAACTACATATATCTGTCCGGATATGTTCTTCCTCTTTCCAAACCCTTCTGTATACCTGCCTTCTCGTTCTTATCCACGTATCTCTCCTGCCAAACACGAGCTATTTTCCTTCTGCTTTTCTACCGTCTTCTCCAGATATCCAGAATACTTTCACAGTGACATCAACTATCATATCATTAACCCAATTGATTTTTTTTTTAATTACAGTGTTGTATTTGAAGATTGGGATCAGTGTTGGGCTTGTCTGTCTCTGTGTTACTGGCATTCTTGTAGCCGTGTGCTGTTTCAAAAATCAACAAAAAAAGAAAAGGGACTCTGAGCTAGATTACACCAGGCTGACAGAATAAACACAACATTTTTCTGTTTATATGTTCTTGATTCTGATTATGAGAGAATGAGGGTGTGTGTGAGGGTGAGTGTGTGTGTGTTTGTTTTTGTTTTTTTTTTTAGTTAAAAAAAAAATCGATTCATTTACTTTATACATATGTTGCATATTTTCTGATATTTGGGATTATATTTTAAATGATAACTTTATATGTTTTTTTTTCTTCTAGATGTATATAGTTTTGATGAAGACTGACTCCGTATTATAATTACATTTTAAAATGTTAAAGTTAATATTTCGCGTTTTTTTTTTATTAAAAAAAAAACGTTTGATTTAATTTGTACTTAAGTATGTTTGACGTTTCTTATTGGTTTTCAAAGAATAATTCCGAGTTGATATCCTTATTTTTGTAAAAAGATTTGTTATTCATCCAAAGCAGAGAGAAACCACTCCTAAATTCGATGACCAACCATGCTTAAAACATAAAATCGTTTTAACAAACTTGCATAAAATTGTATAAACTATAGGGATATCGCAAACAATTACTGCCCACAGAAAAGGTTCATCAATATTCAATAATAACATCATATTTATCATTAATGCCTTTAGATTACTAAAGAAATGTCAATTCGCTTTTGCATTTTATCATTAATGGTTTTAGAATGTCAACTTTCTCATTCTTTTGAAGTTCTCTTGCTACGTAATTCTGATATTGAAATCATTCAAGTTATTAATATGTAGAATAATTACCAGTGATAAGAAATAAATAATCGAAGTAAAATTTGACGTATCAGAAGGGTGTTTCTCGGAATCGATAGGTCAATTCCATGGCTGATTATTTTTCTCTTAGAATCAACTGTCCTTTCATTCAATGTTTGCATGTGTTGATTAAAATAATTTGTCTGCATTGAAAACATACTGTACTAATATACTTTTAAGAAAACTATTTGAATGTCATTCGTAGCGTTACATTTATTTATAAAAAATAATTGATGAACCACACCCTCTCGATTAGCAACGGTCATTATATTGGTTGAAGAAGTGCAATATTCCACAAACTGTTGACTGTGCAGAAATAATGCGCTCACGATTCACTGTTTTATGAATTTGTATAAATCATTCGGTTTTATTTAGGAAATAATTGTATAAAGTTGAGGGCAACATTGAAATTTGTTTCATCCCAAGTAAGCCATAGACAATGTTGCTGTAAGATATGAGATAGTATACAAATTTATATTAAAGACATCGAGCATGCATAAGTGACACACAAAATTAATTTTCATCATCACCATTATGTTACTTTTCTCGCAGTGTATACAAGAAATATATTTCTACTTAAATGGTCGTGACAATCTTAAATGCATAATATGTATTAATGTGTTTTATGGCCTTGCCATTTCAAGGTTTTTGCGAAACGGCGATAAGCTCAAATTATTGGCAAGCAATACTTGTACAATTATATCAGTTAAGAAGCTAGATGACATAATAAGCCATTCAAAACAAGGTTTAACTGCATTTGACTAAAGGAATAAACACAAAAGACGACCTTTATCAATACTCTAGATTAATCAGCTTTGCTGCAGAAGTATTGCGGAAAGTTTTCGGCAAATGAGAAATTAAATAACAATAGGGAATAAAACCTTGATTTAAAAAAAAATGAAACTTGGGCAGCCACGCGATCTCTAAGAATATAGAAGCTACGACATAGGGTGTAATATTGCTATGAATTTAACAATATGGAACCTTTTTCCCTTCTTGGTAACCATTATGTAAAGACAATGTTATTTAATATTTAAACGCCATCATTAAACAAAACTTAACAACAATTTCTGCATAGATACTCTTTTACAAACTTACAAGTGGAGTATGAAGTTCATCCTTATGTCGCGAGTTCGAATACCACTATGGGACTTGAGGACCGGTCCTTCGGAATCAGGTTCCCTGTCGCAGTAGGCGCTGGCTTGAAAAAGATCCCTTACTGTTCTATGGCCCTAAATTTCGAGTTAAGGTCTAAAACTTGCATCTCTACCAGTAGGCCGTGGTGTCTCAATATGAGTGAGAAATTCTCGAAAGGGACGTTAAAAACAGAGTTATCTGTCGAGACTGTAGTTCCACTGGTTTTTAGTAATCACAGAAGAGAAAAAGAGCAATTGAACTAAAGCTTTGCAACAGAAATAAATAATGATCCTTGATTTAGTCTCCTTAGTTCTATTTGTGTGCCAAATTATACTGAAATCTGCCAAAGATAAGTACATGTAGCATTTGGAAAGTTTTTCCACAGACATTTCTATTTTTATATTTCTATTTTTAGTAACGATGACAACGGCATTCACTGAAATGAACAAAACTTTTTAAGACAACCTTTGCCATATAGGGTTGGGTTTCCTATATACCCGCCAATAATCCTATTTGAAAACGTTTGAATTGTCAAGATTGGCTTATTTCGTGTCTAAAACAGTTTTAAAATACAAGATAATGTCAAAATCATAAATTATTTTAAATATTACAAAGAGAAACAAAATAGATATTTGAGAAATATGTTGCCAGACATAACGGACTGCACTCATATCTAAATATGCATTGTTTATAATATATATACTCTGTTCATTGTATTGTAACCTTGACCTGTTGTATAGAGAGGGTATCTATAGGCTTAAGCCTGTTGCCCAATCTATTCAGTTTACTGAATAGATATTGTTTAAAGTATAACGGACAAATGTTTTCGTGTTTTGTCGATTGAATTTGATTATGTCAGACTGGCTTCAATTTGAATGTCCCTTCGAGAAATCACTCACAGACGCCATAACGTAACGGTGGAGAGCTGCATATAATAATCATAACTCTTTTGTACCAACACCTACTACAACACGGGACCTTGGTTTTAACGGTCTCATTCGAAGAACCGTCTCCACGTCCCGCAGTGAGATTCGAACAGGCAACATAAATATCAAGCCTTGTATAGAGCAAAAGCTCTAGCCCCTGCCACAAGCGGTGGCACATCATAAGTGAATACTGATTTTTTAGGATTATTATTTGGGGGCATTGGGCATTAAAAATATTCCAAATGTACTTATAGTTACCAGTGAGAGATGTATTAATATATTCTTCATATATTCTTTAAAGCACAAGTGGCAACAAGGTGTCATATTTCCTTAGAATGGCCGTAGTCTTTAATGTTGAAACTCAATACGATGCAAAGAAGCAGAGAACCTCAAACTTTTCTTCCCGATAACAACGAAGACACACATAGCAACCGAAGCTTTTAATATATAATTTTTATAATGGACAAGGCTTAATTTATCAAAATTAGTGACCATGCGTGGCAAAAATTTGGTAATAGATAGAAAACATAACGTAGAGGAAGCAATTTTCAAGATTGATAGCAAATGTCTATCATATTCCATACACACAAGTATATATACTTCAGTTCTGATTCAGCTTTTGACACTAGGCCAACGAGAATAATTCAGGTAAGTGAAAATATTTTATATATATATTTTTCACACAATTAACTAAACAGTTACATATACTTTACATCAAGGAAATACATTCATTCTATTCATATAAGTTAAAAAAAAAAAAGCTACATAAAGAGATTCGTAAAAAAGAATGACTGGACAATGTATGTCACACTAAGCCAAAAAGAAAAAAAACATGAAGGGTCATGGGTCGAAAGGGTAGCTCCTTCCTAGAGACAGAATCCAATTATGGTTACATGGACTAATAATTACATAACAGTTTTAACCTGATTAGTAACAGCATCCAAAGCATTCGTACACGCAAAATCTGTGAACGTCTGGCCAATTTGTAACATCTTCATTCAGCTATTTCGCATCTTTTCTTGGGTAACCTCTTGTGTTGAAATATTCTATGATACAAGTTTTTCTGTTTTTGCACCGATCAAAGAGGTTTTGGAGAACCTTTAATCAGCCTCTTTCTGTGTGGTTCAATATATTCTTAATTTTGCTTCAAAGAATCGAAATTTGTTAAGAAGGCAAACAGACTTCCTTGACGGCAAATACACTCGAAACATAGAATTTGTGAATGACATGAAATAAAAATATGAGCCGAGTTGATTATGCTGTCTAATCTTACTTGCTTAATATCAATAACAAATATTCATTAGTTGAATTAATAAATGAGTTAATTTACTACAAGGTAATTTACTACAAGGTAATTAAATTAAGTAAATCAAATGATGTATATAAATTACAGCAAATTCGGGCTTTTTTCAAATGATTTCTAAGCGTCCGCTAATCAGACTTTCCACTAACACGGAGATGTCACACAGATCCCATAAGTTATTTTACCTTTATCTTAATAGATTTCATTAATGTCTCTTGTCAAAAAACAAAACCTATGAATGGTCTGCTGGGAACTTTGAGGTAATTTTCGGGTTCGTTTCATATTTTCCAGCCATAAAAGTACAAGTTTTCCCAAAATTCACCCCTTTGATTAACGAAATTAATTATTATCAATTATCATAGTACTAACCTTTTGACATAATGGTAATAAAACTTCCTTGTAAAAGAAAATGAAAACATGATGAGCCGTCATCATATAAAACTGCTAAAACATAGCTTTTAAATTTAATTGATCCGTAGGTTTGGTCATGAAATATTTGAAATTGATTTCTGATCAGTAGGTACTAATATATTTTTAATTTATACACGTAAATAGTTATATACAATATAAGCATTATTATTGTTTACAAATTTTTATTTTCAATTTAACGTATTTTTGATTTTAGAAATGATTTGGGAAAACTTTATTTTATTCAGCGTCCTGGGAACAGTAACAGGTACGCCGATAATCAATGACATTTTAAAAACAAATTCGAGAATATTTGATTTTTAAAGTTTAAAAACTCTGGTTAAAAAAAAAGATCTGTTATCCTGTTAAATTAAAACTTGATTGATTTTCTTTTCACAGGTCGTTATATCAATGGAGTACAGAGACTAACAAATTCGGGGAACTGTGCGAACGCATTTAATTTTGTGTCTATATCGACAATGTGTAAAAGTAACTCAGACTGTGACATTTCATCTGTGTGTTGTAGAATTCGATCATCGGAGCAATCAATATGTGTTCCTCTTAGACCTACAGACATTGTCATCGTGCAGTATCCCCCGAGGTCACGACCCCCGGGGGAGTCGACATTACCGCTACCCATACCCCGCCCTATTCCCATCCCTCTTCTTGCTTCGTTCACCTCCGTGTCGCCTCCAAATTATATCTATGCTCCTACGAATATTGTTTATAAGTGATATGTAACTTAAAGAACCAAAGAAGGACTTAATCGTGAATAGATTACTTTTAAAACGAATATGCATCGGAATACCTTAAGATTTCTGGAGACATGTGTGATGGACAATTTGAAAGTCATGATGATGGTATGTATATCCTCATAAGACTTGAAGGTACTTGAAAAAATGTGAATTCTATTTTAAAAGTTAAAGTGTGTTTTTACATCGGACATTTTCAAGGATATGATGTGTCAAGAGACTGTGGTTTTTTAACGTCGAGGGGATTTACTAGTATGTGAAATACGTCAACGCGTCAAAGTGCGGCCCATTGTGTTTGGCAGAAATTGTATACGGTTTAATCATCGCATTCAGGAGCCCTAAGATAGATCTCTAGCTATTTTTATTCGTTAAATGGATAACATTTAATTACACCTGGGTTACAATATATATTTTATGTTTTTCTGAACATTAATTTTTTTTCCTTGTTTCCTTGTGATGTTAGAAATTACAACGAAGCACGAATTACAGCAATGAACTCTACTTGAATTTTTCGATGTGTTAAAGAAATTTAAAATTTGTACTTTTTGCTGCAAGATCATAAAAGAATCAAACAGTGTTACATGTATCAAATGTTAATCAGCAACGCAAATCTTTTTGTCATCTTTATTAACAGTATTTGCCAAACGGTTGATTGTGAAAACATCTTAGAAGTACAGAATCACGAAAGTGTGCTCAAGAATTGAAATATTCTTCATGTAAAGTTGCATTAAATTCCACCAATTTTTGCTGTACTAGGGGCACGAATAAACAAGATGTGTTCGTGAAATACTGAAGCCCCCTTGTGGCAGCTGATAGCGAATGATTAAGCTTCTCAAATAAAAGTCAAACTCCAAGGTCAAAAATGTTGATACCCAGAGAAATGACTTGTCTTAATGAGTACCGGCTATACTCGTGAAAGCTCAAGCACCAATCATTCCAAAGTTCTGGCCAATGCCAAAGGTAAAAGTTTTTGAAAGTTGGTCAAACTCCAAGGTCAAAATATCTTAAGCCTTTAATCTTATGGAAAGGTCTTGTGACAAGAAATAGACATTGAAGTATGACATCCCTAGAAATCAAACGTTCAACAGTTAAAGCCAAGATTAAAGTATGGTGATTTTACAGCAAAAGTGGGTGAAACCCTAAGGTCCAGGTAAAGAGGTTAAATGCTGTGATACCCTATTTTAGGTCTTGTCACTGTGAAATTTATATGAAATTTCTAGCTCCACCAAATTAAATTTAAGATATGGGCTAGGTTAATATTTTTGCCGACAAACAGACGGATAGACAGACGTACGGACAGAGCATACCTGTGAACTCCCAAACTTCGATTACGAGAGCATAAAAAGGTGAAACGTTCGATTCTTATTTCACAACATTTAAGAATAGCTACAACCAACAACCAGCTATTGAAATGAAAATTCTTGTTCATTTCAAGAATATAAATAGCAAAACAAGGTGAAATAGTCTCAAGGACAATAAAACCTCTCCGGTGTAGCATAAAATTGTAATCGTGTAATTTGTCATTTAACATTGGATAAAAATGTTGCAGAACATTGTACATAATTATGCAAATTAAAATTTTGGTAATAGAAATACATGCACATTATGCAAATATTTAAGGTGGGGTAATTCTGCTAAAACATATGTCTTGATGTCGTAGTGATGTACTGAAATCAAGAGCAAAATATCTATAAAATGTATGCAGTGTGAAAGCTTGCACCTGCATATTTTTCAGTTTTCTATTTACAGTAATTTATACGTTCAAAATTAGTATTGGTACAGTGTATAATAACAGTAAACTTATAACAAGTGTTTTTCTAATAGTTAAGAATCAAGAAACCTGTTTTCAAAAAAAAAAAAATCTGACGACTATAATACTAAAAATCTACCAAAACCCGCGTGGCGCAGTAGTTAGAGCATCTGCTCTAGTGTCGTGACGGAAGGAGTTGATCCTTAGGTCGCGGCTTCGAATCCCATTGTGGGAGATGGAGACCAGTTCTTCGGACGAGACCGTTAATAAGTGAGGTCCCGTTTTGCAGAAAGTGGTGGCACGAAAAAGATTCCTCACTCAAAGGCTTTTAGTGCCGAGATGTAAAGCACAAAATTTGCAGCTCTCCCCCGCAGATGGTGGAGAATCCATTGATTAAAAAATTATCGACAAAGACGTTAAACTATAGTATATACAAACAAACAAAACCAAAACCGCTGAGCTAAGATAATTTTTCCAAGACCAAATTTCTGAGTGACCCGCGCGCTGCAGTGATTAGAGTAATTGTTCTGAATGGTGAAGGAAGAACTGAATCCTTGTATTTCGGGTTCGAATTCCACTTCTGGTCACAGAGAACGTTCCTTCGGATGAGACTGTACATGTAACTAAGGTACATGTTGCAGTAGATATTGGCAAGAAAAAAGTCATAATTGCCACAACGACCAAGGACAAGTCTTAATTTTTAGCACTCCATCAGCAATTGGTGAAGTCTCAAGATGAATGAAAAATGCTAGGAGACGTAAGGCCAGCAACCATCCAACAAACCAACCCCAAATCCAGAAGCCAAAACAAAAAAATGATCATTTTAATGATGATTTTAAATTTTTAAGACACTTCATCTATTATGTTTTATTCTCTGTGTTTAATGGATTAATATTAATGTCTAGAGTAAATTCGAAAGCAAAGGATTTCTTCTTCAGAAAATTTGACAATAAACTGTCTGTAAATTAATTGGTATATAGATCTTAACTTACGAATATTGAAAACGATATATATTACATAAATCTCAAAATCTACCTAAGCATAGGACACAGTCAAAATATGTGTCTTAAATTTGTACTGAACTACTCCATAATATTTGCAAATTAAATTATCAGTAGGGTTTTTCCCTGAGCACTCATTTAATTAACAACCCCGTAGTACCATCACTAGATTCTCTACACCTGTAAACCTGTCAATGTGACAGTTCGAAAATTGTGAATCACAATAAAGCCTAAACATTAACAAAGCTAATTCGCCCGATCACTAAATGATTGACCGTAAAATTGAACTGTTTGTAAAATGTTATCAACCTTTTTTCGTGGTTTGTGGTTCAAATTTTACAAGAGCCTTTGACTCGAAGAACAAACAAAAAACATTAAGAGCGGGGATAATTAGATGTGTAACCATTGGGAACTGTTGTTAATAATTTATAGCTTCAGATGAATTAATTAAAAATGTTGACATTTGTTTTGATGAAACTCGAGAACACATTTTTAATTGAAATGTCATTGTACGGGACTTCCTGTTGTCACCGAGGACTATATACAAGGCTCCTACATGACAGGCGCTTCAGTTCAACGCTGTTTAACAAGTGATTAGGTTGCTTCTTGGAAAATCAAGATTTGAGGAAAAGTTGAATCAAATCAACACTACGAGCTTTGCAGACATTTCCATTCCAAAATCATGAGTTGGATTTTGTGTGTACTTCTTGCCTGCTTTGGTCTCTTAGAAGGTGAGGACTTGAAAAAAACTTAAATTGAAGGGGCATCAGCTCTTTTTTTTTATCTTCACTGCAGTATCTTTATTCCAATGACGTTTCCAGAGATTTCTTATAATAGAAAATATTTTCCAGAAAATATTTGCATGTTTTTCAAGTTAATTTCAACTATGAGACAAGCATATTGTATTTTTCTACAACTTTTTTCTTAATGAGCAAAGGATTTGATGCAAAATCTTCCTCAAACCTTAAATTTCTAACTTGGTTACAAATACACGCATATCACAAAATAGTAACTTAATCTCTAATACTCTTGGAGAAATGTATTTTATTTAAAGAACTTGCCAAAATGACATGGAATAGCAACAAATCTTAATACATACCATTATTTCTTGGCATATTCAGAATTTTTTTATAAAATGATTGGAAGGTCCAATATAATCTGTAATCCGGCAAAGTAATTGTATTGTCCTCTAAGAAATTTAGAATTTTTCAAGTTCAACAAATTTGTATATATGACCAATTTAATTGAAAATTCTAAATTTTGTAGAGTACAGTATGCCAAACACATTAAATTAAAAGTAACCCTCCAAAATCATCTGATATAGCAGTATTGGAATATGTCTTAAACTAACCACAAATATTTAAAAATTAACAAAAGAAAAATTTAATTAAACAAATGTTTTGTTATGCATGATAAATTACTCTCCTCGCAAAAACACCATCGAAGTTGACATAAATTAGAAGTCATTAACCTGTTAAATGTTAAAGATCTTTGAATCAATCAACATTGTTTGTGATGTATCGCTGGAGATCACGTTATGATCAAAAGTCGCTAAAAAACGAAGTTGGTTTACCTCAGTGACTATGATAGATAATATATTGTTTCTGTTACAAGGTGTAACAAATAATTAACCTTATTCATTTATAAAAGGCATTCCTTTAACACATTCTTAAATTTATGGCGGCTTAAATTTACAGAGAGAATATTAATGCAACAGTGTGCTCAAAAATAGAGAGATATGAGACATATGGGCAATAAAGAATTTAAAAATATTTATATATTGCATAACTACTTAGAAAATTGAAATATACAGAAATTTACAGTTTTGGCAACAGTACATATGTATGTCCTTTAAACTGGACGTTTTCAGAGTCATGAAATACTGTGATAAATCGTGAATGAATATTGCAGTAATAAAGAAGACAGTTTTGGAAATACGGCATCATTAGTTTGTTGAATTGGTAAACAGACATTGCTTTAAATCTCTTTGGGCAATGGGCGATGCAATGTGGTCTATATTATCTGAAAGAATTTGTTTTCTGCAACTTCGATAAGATAGATGTACAAGTTCAAGCATACACAATTGCATTTAGAAGGTTTCATGAGAATGCAGTTTGTATGCATGGAACTGAACAATTCAGAAGTCATGATTTAATAAAGGCTTATGAAACCTACCTTCTTTTTCATATTCTTTACCAGATTTCTTTTTCTTGCAGCCAGACATATCACAAAGATGACGCAATCAGGGACATGCGTCACACATTACGTCATTTCTTCTGCGAATAGAGAATGCAAGAGTGATATTGACTGCGATTCTTACATGTCCTGTTGCCAACACACTAGGAACACTTACTCGGTCTGTGTTCCATACAAAGAGAAAGCTTTTTCGTTGACAAAAGCACACAAATCTCACATCATGAATAACAATAACGACATCTATAAGTTCCATTTGCCACAACCTTCTCCGATTCCTCGTCCATTCCTGGATGAATACAGTCGTCGAATGAAGTCATGAAAAACGTCGTTATCCCAAACTCCAAAAACAAAGCGCAGGGATTCAAAGCATTTAATCTCTCATCACTAGCAGAGAAAGAGGCTGCTTCAAGAACAAATGTAGTGTGTAAGAGGTGCCGTACAAGACAGGGACCAAGCTGTGCTGCATATGAGACAATGTTCGGTTTGCTTGTTCAGGGGTGCTAAACATAGTAGACATTCGAATGCCGATATTTGAAAAGATGCAATTTAGTGTAAATGGGGAAAATTGTCTTTACTTGAAAAGAATAATGCTGTTATATTTAAAGAAGTTTATGTATACTCTTATACATTTATATCTTATGTATATGCATAATGAATGTGCTTCTAAAATATAGCATACAGTGTGCTGCAATAAAAGTTGAGAATTTTTGTCTCAGATTTTTTGTTCTCTTTAAGATGGAACGAAAAATTTCTTGTGTGACTTGAAAAACGTAACTCGTTAGTTTGAAAATATAGCTATCATTAAGAAATAAAGGCTTTCAAAAATTGTCTTCATAACAGAAACTCTTTAAAAACATTTTTTTTTATGACTTTTATGGCAGCAAATTGACCTCGAAGATGTACTAACGTTTTGCTGGAGCTATCCAAACAAGAGGTTCATTCATCAAATTACTATTCGCTAATATACAAATAATTATATTTACATGTATTCAAACGCCTCCACATTATTTGATTTTTTGCTTCAAGTATGAATAATATGTGAAATTCGCTTTAATATATCTAATAAATAAAATAAAAAGACATTTCTTTAACCATGCTTAATTCATATGTATTTATAATTAATTGTAAGTAAGGTATTTCCTCAATTACCTTTATGTATTCTTATGCTTATAGGCAAGCTCACCGCAGCTTGTTTTTGCTATTTTGTACAAGTCAAATAAAACACTTTCATAGAGATGAATAATGTCATTTATTAAAATGACGGTATAAATGTGAACAATTTAACAAACAAGAAGGGGATCAGATTCACAAGCTTTGATTAGCAGTTACGTAAAATATGATAATGTCTGATCCCCCAAAACTGACTAGAAAAAGTATCTGTAAGACAAGACAATCAAAACATCATATGAAAAAATTAGCAAAAAGATGATCCCCCAAAACTGACTAGAAAAAGTATCTGTAAGACAAGACAATCAAAACATCATATGAAAAAATTAGCAAAAAGATGATCCCCCAAAACTGACTAGAAAAAGTATCTGTAAGACAAGACAATCAAAACATCATATGAAAAAATTAGCAAAAAGATGGCACATCAAAACAAAATAGGCCAAGACCAGACAATCAAAACATCATATGAAAAAGTTAGCAAAAAGATGGCACATCAAAACAAAATAGGCCAAGGATAGTAGTGAAACAAAATACATGTACATAAAAAAATATATATAAAGAAATTAAATCAGAACCAATCAAATATATAATTTTACATGACACATTAATACCCATTTTAAGGGGTAGGAATGCAGGGGTGGAGGGGGGTCTTCAAAATACACGTGCCTGATGTTGGCGTGGACAAGCATACACAAATTGAAGATGCGCGGTGTTTTCAGAGGAATAAACTTTTTCTGAAAATAAATTTACTTCGGTGTAGGAAAAAAGTTGCAGATTTTCTTCGAGCAGATTATGTAACGATTGTTCTGTTGAGATCATATGAAACCAATGTGGAAACGGCAATAATTTCTTCTTCTTCTGCAGAAGTTTGAAAATAAATTTTGCTTTATCAGAACATGAAGATAGACCGGGTAATAAAGGAGCACAGTTAGTGCCCACGAATTGTTGGAACACAAAAGAAGTGGTCAGAATGTAACAAGCATGTGAAGAGTAAAATTAAGAATAATGCTCAGAGTCAGAGTAACGAAATAATTCTTTCTTGTATATCTACAAAAGAAAAAAGGCTTTTAAGACCCTAATTATTAGTTCGTCCGTGATGTGAATAGGTGGATGCAGGGTACGAAATGTAAAGGTTCCACAGAAGTCTGAAGTGTACATTTTTTTGAAAAATAACCATAACCTAAGGCATGACTTTTCCCCCAGAGATTGCAGGTTGTCCTACGATAGGATTTTCCACTATGTTATGAAGTTTTATCTTTAAATTAAGTTTGGTGGTTCAAGATGACATTTCCCTTATAATATTTCATTGAACAAAAAGTAAGACTGCATGGTTCTCTTTAATACAAAAAGTGCAAAGATGATAAAGTATTCCTTAATGCACATTGGTTGAAGGACTGCAGCTGCCATTTTGGACTTTTTGTGCATTTCGGTGTGCCATATGGTTATCTCAAGAATATTTTTTCTTAAGATCCTAGTAATATTCTACCGAAACCCTATCAAACAATTTCATATGTATTCTTTTCTCATTTCTATTATGTATGCAATTGTAGGCAAAGAATGCTATAAAAACTCAAAAGAAAGAGAGATAAGTTATGTAATTTCTCCTTTAAAAAAATCTTGTCTGACATTAAATTGTGTTAACAGGAATCTCTACATTTGTAGCTCATGAGACTAGAATTTTAATTTTGTAATTAAGATGCAGTTTACAGGAGAGAACATCATACTTTTGTTTAAGTTTTTAAACTTTATTTGGCATACATATAAAATAATGACACTAATGACATATTTTTTCTGTCAATTAATTCTTGGGGTTTTGTGCTTTATCATTTTTCAAATTAATTTTTTTTTAAAACTTTAAACCAATCTACATATATTTGCTATTCAAAATATATCATGCAGTTGCTACGATTCCTAAGTATGATGAACAAGTATTTTTATCTTGTAGAAGAAGAAGAAGAAAGTAATGAACTTGATCCATATTTTTAAAAAAAATCAACACACAATACAACTCCGTGAACAGGGCATGAAACATTAACCCCTGTTGATCGGTTACGCTCGCCAGTATTCTTATGTGTTAAAAGGGTAGACGGAATGTTTCGAGTCAAATTTGGTATGAAAACAAATGACATTACAATTGGTATAAAACACGTTAGCAAAAAAACTATTTAATGTTATGATATATTTGAAGATAAGGCCATTTGAACAAAATGCAACTTACGAACTTTAAACGAGGAAATTGAAATTGTTTAAAAGCTAAAAACAAATCACCAAATCGAATTGAATTATTTGCAAATAAATGTAAAAATTATAGCAGGGCACCTTTTATATCTGTTGAATAAAAAAAATTAAAATACACATCCAAAATTTTCAAATAAAGATATCTTTCCAACCACAGCAGGCTAAAATTGAATCAGAAAATGACATAATTTTTTTTCAATTTTGTGACAGTTTTTCATGGTAAACCAAAAACCTTAGATATCAAACCTGTTAAAAGATAAATAATCATTTTCTGAAGTGTCATGAATGAATTTAATCAATCCATTTGCACCAGGCCCATTGGACCATTTTAGATATAAATTTGAATTACATATTGACATGACTAATTAATAATTTTTACATATGAATACGACAAAAAAGGTGTAGTCATAAACACTGTCAAGTGAAAATATTTTAAAATACCAAGATAAATCTTATGCTAAAGTTAACACAGATATGGAAATATGCATCAACCGATGTTTCTACTGATAAGTAAATGAGTATATATGACTTTCTTGAGTTTATCTTCTATTTGAATACGATCATTTATAATCTTTTATCGGAAAAAATAATATCAGACATTAAAATTCATTGTGTTCGTTTTCTGTATGAATAAAAATCACTTGTATTATTCGTCTCTTACAAACCAAATTGACATTAGATCTTAAAAGATGTGATAGATGCAAAATTGAATTTAGAGTATTGTGATTCTTAAACTAATGAAGATTGGCGAATAATTAAAAATGACAAAATATATAAACACTAGAATTTACTCAGTATGTCTTGGGTCTTCCAATCTCAATCTTTGACCAAGAATGACAAAGTAGTTTTAGAATTCAGTCAGAATTCCATGTGTCCTTCACATTTTAAGCATTTCCCTCAGAAATAAAAAAAATCGTCATATTACATTCATTATGGTAAGAAGATTATTCATTTTTTTTTATTTTGGGGAAAAATGTTTTTAAAATATCAAATGTCTATGCAGAATTTGCACATTTTCCTCCAGTTTTTATTATTTTAAGAAATAGGATAAGATTTGAAATGTCATTTAAATGTTTCCTTATTTGTTGATAATTATTCATAATTTTTAAGTGTAAGTAAGTATACTTATGATAACTTTTCATTTTATGAATGTCTAATATTAAGGCACAATCACTTGGCAAGGTTCAATCAGAGATTATTCATTCATTGTAACGAAACGAAAATTAGAGAAATTGAACAAATGTATGGTTCTGTAGGCTGGGGCTACAGTTTAATGAAATTGAAGAAAAAAATCATCACATTATAAATATCATCCTTACTCTACTACTTCTGAGAGACAGAGTGATTTTAAAAGAAACAACAATGAATATTCTCACAGTTTGTAATTTCATGTCTTTTTTGGTATTTTTGCCCAGAGCTTAATTTTACATATGCCTGAGTTAGACATATTAAGAGATCATGCATGAAAGAAATCTCAGGCGGCTATCGTCTCTTGTTTCTCTATAATGCTTTTTGGTTCACAACAATGATACAGTGATAAAATATACTTTTATTAACAAATGTAAATTACAAATTATTTCTTGATTGCTTTTTTAAAATTTCACATGAATTCATGCAGCTTTGATTCCTCCTGAAAAACTTCCGAATTCTCTGAATATTCCAACTTTTTTCTTATGAATAGGGTTTCCTTTTTTAAAAAGTAAAATGCAATAAAAAAAAAACCTCAATGGAGTTGCTATGAATATAAGTTGTTTCAGATACGCAGTATACAAACCATCCAAGATGTACAGCACCTATTAAGTACATGAAAACTAAATATGCACTTATAATCAGTGCTGATCGTGTACTATGCGGGGAAAAACAGTTCATGTCTATTCCAGCATTTGTCATAACTGATTTGATCCAGCGACCAATGGTATCTACAGAAATTGGATTGTGAGGCTTTTGGGTACTTATAAACAATTTACATTCTGAGCCCCTCAATTTTTTAGTTCTATGAATATATTCCTCATATACATGTACAATACATAAATCTATATCATTTGGATAAGCAGCAACAGATATTTCATCTAAATGATGCCCTGGTCTTGTTTGCTTTAACAAGTCACCATATTTAATGATTAACATATTATCTCTCACAGAACATTTCTAACATCTAGAAGATGTAAACCTTGTTTTCGCTGTCCAGATAATAAAGCTAACAACATTGCCAATTTCTTTGACAATTGAAACAAAGACAAATCCTGCACAGGAGACAATGTTTTAAGATATCCTAAAACCTTATTTACATCCCATGTAAAATGA